TGGTGATATTCCAATTTATCAGACGACATCATCAATGCCAACTAAACCGACAGTAACTGCTACTCCCCTTGGATCAAGCCCCACAAAAAAAAAATCTATTATTACTTCTCACAAAGTCACCCCCAAACCAACCTCAAAACTCAAACCATTTACACTTTCATCACCTACAAACCAGGGTTACAGGCCAGAGGTCAAGCCATTACATTTATTTGAGTCAGGAAATCAGGAGGATATATTGAGCCCTGACGCATTCACAAGACGAAATCCTAGAAAATTAGTGTTAGATCATTCTGTTGAACCACAGGAATTATTGCCTGAACCTGATACTCAGGCTGGAGTGTCAAATGAAGGACAAACCCCAATTAAAAAATCTATATCTTTCGATTCCAGGCTTGAGTCAGGTGCCGATACTATTTCTCATTCATTTAGTCCAAAAAATAATAGACAAATAGATATTCCTAGTAGTTCTGCGATTGTAACTCCAACAAGGATATCAAAGACACCATTAACATCTCCATTTAATGGATTAACTAAGGAGGAAGAGTCATTTTCATCGCCAACCCTTGATAATGAATACTATTCTACGCCTACAATTAAAGACCTTAAGGAAATGAGCCCAGAACAATTAAAAAACGTTGGTGGTTTTCAGGTAGGAAGAAAAGGTTACGGTGCTATTGAATATCAAGACCCAGTGGATCTCAGTGACGTCAAGCAGATTGAAGATATTTTGGGAAAAATCATTAAATTTGAATCACAGCATTGTACCGTTTATGGAACTGATTATAACAAGCCACCGCCAGGGCAAGGACTAAATAAACCTGCAATAATCTCACTGACAAATTGTTGGGCTTTGGATAAAAGTAATCGACAGCCGATTATCGACCCAGAAGATCCCAGGTATCAACAACGTATTGATAGATTAAAAAGTGTTGAAGGCACAAAATTCATTACCTTCATAGCTACAACGGGTACCTGGGTATTTCAAGTAGAGCATTTTACAACATATGGTCTCATTTTTGATGACCCAGAAGATCAATATGAAGAAAAGCGGTTTCATCCTGTAGTACTTCCTGTCACTGAGCAGGATGAAACAAAACCTTTATTTCAGTCACGAAAAGGAAAAGAAAAAGAACATGATTTTGATAAACTTGGTCCAGTGATTAATTTTTCAGAAACTTTGGGGCATGATCCTGACGTCATTAGTGAAATGCAAAATTTCATATTTCATAGTGAAGATGTTATGTCAATGGATACTACTGTAGATAATGAAGAATTTGATGATTCTCGTAAGCGTAGTTTGGGAAGTTATGAGGATCAAAATACAATGCAAATTGAGGAGCTTAAAGTGGAGGTGAGTTGGGGAGTTATCAAGCGAATGTAATTTTTGTCATCTATTACTGTTCATACAATTCAACGCTGGAGTATTTATTTTTAAATTTTGTCAACATTTTGATTTCTTTCTGTTGAATAATATTTTATTCGATAGTTTTTATGATATATGTGTATATATCAATATGTTTATATAGTCATTGTTTTTGGTTTTTTTTTATATTGTTTTTCAATAATACATTTGATTTTATATTTGTAAATCTTTATTTTGAATTTGTTTATAATAAATTGTGCTTTTGAAAATTATATAATTGGTTTAAATTTCTAACTTGTCTACTGTATGTCATGTAAAGTCACGTAAGTCGTTTTCCACGGCGATAGAAATACCTCAACGAGATGTAGTTATCCCAATGCCTAGCAAGTACCGCAGGATTGTTGATTATTATCATTCCGTTGTATTTGGAAAAAATTATTGCAAAGAAGATTCTGGACTCGTAATGGGAAGATCTTTCAGAGTAGGGTGGGGCCCGAATGGAATTCTCGTTCGCTGCAGTAAAGTTTGTGGGATTTCAAATGTAATGTAAGTGAGATGATTGTTAAAGTGGAAGTACACGATTGTGTTTCGTGAGTTTCAATAAATATTTATAAATATTTAAACCTCGATTTAATCAACTTTAGATCAGCTTTCTCTCCAAAAGGCAAGAATACTGGCTTAAGTAAAAACACCGGAATGCCTTCAATAATTCAATTTGAACAGCTTCGAATATTCGCTGATACGGAGGTGCGTAAATATAAACTGCGTCCATATATTGTATTAAATGAGCATGACTAATATTAGATTGATTTAGGATAAGGAAAAAAGAAAACACAATAGATTAATGGAATTTATTTTCGAAAATTCGACAATTGGGCAAAAAAATGGAATACCATACGTTGATACCACTAAAATTAATTTTAAAAACATAATGGACGCTTTTCAAAGTGAAGATATCCACCGACATGAAGAATTAATTTGGAAACTTGGACATGCTTTATGGGATGATATCACAATCCCTGGTGCTAATCAGATAGCTCCGGAAGTTGAAGAAAAAATTGCCCTTGAAAAACGTAAAGAACGACTTTCGAAATGGTTTAAGAATGCCGTTTCACCTCATGCCACGGCGCACGTTAAGCGCGCCGAGCGTGCTAATAATGCATCAGAAACCATTTTCGCTTATCTTAGTAGTAAAGATATAATGAAAGCTTCAAAAGTAGCCATTAAGAATCGTTGTTTCCGCTTAGCGACATTATTGTCTCAATTATGTGGAAACGACAAATTTTTTAGGAAACATATTAGTGATCAAATCGAACATTGGAAGCAGACTGGAGTAGATAAGCTTATATCTAATGACATTTGGAAACTTTACGAAATAATGTTTGGGAATGTAATACCGTCAATACATGGGTTGGACTGGAAACGCGCCCTTTGTATGCAGATGTGGTATGGTCGCTATTCAGATGAATCATTTGATAAGTCTTTCAACGATTATGAGAAGGCACGAGAATCAACAGGAATTGCAAAACCTATACCGTGGTATAAAGATGACATATATCCCAAACCTCTCGTATCTTGGACTGCTTCAGATAATGAAGATAATTTTGATGTGCATTATCATCTTTTAAAACTTTCTGTCGATTCAACCCATCTTCTCGATGATGCATTACTCCCGTTGTCTATTACACCCTCACCCTTGGATTATCGCGTTACATGGTTATTGCATTTCATGCTTGCTCGTACATTAACTGTGAGAGACTTTGTGGGCCAAGGCACAACTGCCGATTGTGTTACGTTGAATCTTGTGAATCAATTGGAAATGTTAGGGTTACATGAATGGTCCCTCTTCGCCGCTTTGTTCATAAATGAACCTTACAAGTGAATTTATATAATTAGCTTATAAATGTCTGGGTATTTAATTAACTGTCAATAATTCGATTTTAATGTAGCCGAAAAACCATAATTTGTGAAATATTGAATCGCCTAGTGTCATCGGTTTCTCTGGAACGCCTGCGGGATGTTGAAAAGTTTGCTAGTGATCAGTTGAAAATAAATCAACAATGGGTCGATCATGCCAAGGTAAATTAATAAGGAAACTTGTATAAAAAAAGATTTATCACTTAAATATATTTTACATTCTATTAGGCTTTATATTCAAAATATCGAGATGATACCGTTGAAGAAGCAATGTATTTATTAAAGTCTGGGAATAACGTCGATGCACACAAGATAGTCGTATCAAAGATTGCTCCAGAAAGCATCTTACATAAAAAATATAAAAAATTGCAGGAAATACTCGAAAAAATTGACCAAAATTCTATTCCTGATTGGGATTTGGGTGGCAAAGTTCGTTTTATTTATTTGGTATTATTGTGCTTGCTTTTATTCTATTGTTAAATCTTAATAAATTTTTATGCAATATCAGATATTCCTAGATTATCTTTCTTCTATCGAGTCGGTACGTATTGAAGATATAGAAAATAATCCAGCCTACCGGACTGGTCTTATGGGAATTTGCCAAAGTATTATTAGGGGCCTCGACAATATGAAACCTATCGATCTTCAATATCAGAAATGTATCACTTACATGAGGTATTCAACGAAAAATATTCTTAACCACATAGAAGGGTGTGATATAAATAATATGAAATATAAACCTGAAGACATAATCAGCATAGAAATTTGATCTATTTGGGATATGCTATCCTAATAAAAACTTTCTCTTGCCTTGATATCACTTTGCTTTGATGGATTATTAGACAATGTTTCTAAGTAAATGCATTTGAATTACTATAGCAGTTTAAACCAATACATCGAGATTAGATAATTAGATAGTATTAAGTCTTTGTATAATGTGCAATTTTTTACATAGAGTACTGTATCATTTAATCAATATTATGTAAATATATATATACACATTTGCCAAAAAAAAAAAAATCCCCCAAATCAATAAATTATATCAAACTTTGCTATATATTACAAATTGTTTTTTAAGGGTAGGGTGTAACCAGTGTTGGCACTGGACATATGTCCAACTATTTTTTATGCTATTGGACTGGACTGGACATTGGACATAATACTTGGATATATGTTCAGTCCAATATGTCCAATAATTTTAAAAAATATAAAAAAAATTTTGGAAAAAATATGGCCTAACTAAAAGCTTTTCTTGGGCGATTTTACTATATATTTCACTAATTTCTAGCCCTAATATAAATGCTAATCTTAACTTTTTATAAATAGTAACCATTATCACGTGATCATGACTTTCTTTAGCGTGATACTGTGAAGATTTTTGATTGGCTATTTGTCACATGTTATATATATTACACAATGTCCAATGTCCAATACTTTTTGGTCCAATGGATTGGACTGGGACTGGATAAGGGTGGTCCAATGTCTAGCCCAACCTTGGATATAACTATTTTCGAATTCATATAAAATAGATTGTAGATCAACTTTGTGTAACCAATATCATCAATTCTTAGTATAATTATAGAAAAACATATAGCATCCAGGAAAATTTTTAGTTATATATAAAGTTAATTTTTTTAAAAACAAAGTTAGGGTTAGGGTAAGGGTCATAGTATAGTTTTTAGTTAGCTTTGAATTAGGGTTAAAGTTTTTTTATATTGTTATAGAATGTGTTAACATTATAAAACATATTAGAGATTTTATTTCTATTAGATCCAGAAGATTATAACGATCAAAACAAGCTACAATACATGATAAACAGACTATCAGTTAGCTAGATAATCAAGAAATAAATTTACTATATATTTTTTGATATTCCTTAATATTTATTAATGTTTCTTAATATTTCTTAATATTTCTTAATGTTTATTAATGTTTTTTAATGTTTTTTAATGTTTTTTAATATTACTTTATGTTTCTTAATATTGTTACAAAGTAGGTTGTAACATAGTGTAACAGTAGTATAAAATAGTTAGTTTATATTTGATCAATTATATTATTATTATATTTTAGTTACTATATATTTATTAGCATAGTATTAATTAGTATTTTATTATTATTATTGTTGTATTATTATTTATTAGTTATAGAGATACAATTGGCTAGTTATATTTGGCACAGTAATACTATATTTAAGATAGCACAAGTGCCTCCAAGTGCCTCTGTATAAGTATCTCTAAGTGTCTCTGCATGAGTACCTCCAAGTGCTTCTGCATGAGTATCTCTGTACGAGTACTTTCAAGTATTTCTGTATAGGTGCCTCTGAGTGCCCCTACACAAGTGCTTCTGAGTGCCTTTACACAAGTGCCTTTAAATGTCTCTACACAGTGCCTCTAAGTGCCTCTTACACGGTTTAGCCATTATACCTCTTATGTGTAGAAAAGTTATAAAAAGGAGAGCCTTTTGCCTCTTCTGTTCAAGTTAGAGTTCTCTACTCTCTCATAGAATCTAGCTTTATTTAACTACCCTTATTACCCTTCTTATATTTGTATAGTGTAATATTTTCTCTTTAGGGTATTTCTATAGCAAAGGATATTATCATGAACCTGTTATTAATAAATATTATTATTTTTATATACTATTACTATTTTAAACCATTTGCCTCCTGTTGTAAAGTAAAAGTATACACTTTATATTCACCCTGTGTATATTCATAAAGTATATCACTGCACTAGGTGACCTTGTTACAATACCAAGAAGGCTATAGCACTGTAATATTTTAGTGCTTTCTAATGAAAAGCCAAAACATTTAATTGGAAATTCAAACTCTACCCCAACCCCCTTCTTAAATATAAACCATCTCTTTTTGATTGAGTTTTTAATTGACAAGTATAAAATTATAGCAGATTTTATCAGATCTCTACTAGAAATTATTTTTTTTGGATTGTCTCTCTTGGATTTCAACTCTTCTTTGAAATTATTGCAGGATTGGCTATTGAAAAAGCAATATTAAAATTAAATTATTAAAGATATAAAATTACTAACTTTATTGTAAAACTTAAAGAGTTTATGCTTTACTTCTTGCAAGTAGCCGGCAGATTAAATTAAATTATTATTAATTGTTAAATTGTATTTGAAATTGTTACCTTGATGTCATTACTTGTTATAATCATTTAATTGTTTTTTGCATATATATTATTCTTTATTATATTATATATTATTTATTAACTATCTCATTAATAATTATCTCTGGAAGATAATTTCTTTTTGCAAAACTGCATTATTACTAAACTGTTTGAAGTTTATTTATCTTTTATGGGAGATCTTGTAACTAGATTTCATAACCAGAATATTATTAATTACAAAGCCCAATATACAAATTTTTCTGCTCTTGCTGTTAATATACTTCAATATAATGCACCTGATTTATCTTGTTATATTTGCTCTCCACCTTATCGAACAAGCCCTTATACTCCACTAGAAATTTTGTGAACTTGGTATTCTGATATTTATTACGCTGAATTTTAAACTTACAATATCTAAACAAATTTCTTTATACTAGAAACTACATATTATTCTACTGAAGCCCAAGTTGCTGCTAAAAATATTATTTTTAGTTGCCATTATACTCAAGATATTGGTGACATCAGAGCTATCATTCTTGCGTTATTTCAAAAATACACCAATTTCAATAATATACCTGATATCTTCCTTTACTAATAGAAATCACTATAATAATTATATTGATTTTCTTGACTATAGAAGAATAATTACTAGACCTAATGTATATCAAAATTTTTCTCCAACTTTAGACCAAGCTACATATCATGCTTCTTAACGAGAAATTGCTATTACTATTTACACTAACTCTAATATTACTATTGCTGGACCATCTGCTATTAATCCTACTCAACAAATTGCAGAAACTTTAGAACCTTATAGTGGTGATATAATACACAATAATTCACCTTTTCAGGCTTATTAATCTCTATACAGAAGGAATCCTTCATTAACTATTTATACTACCAACCAAAGACAGTACCAATATCAACCACCTTTTATTCATAAAATTCATCCAAATTGTATTCAAGAAATTTCTTTTACTAGCATATCTCATACACCTCTTGGATTCTCAACTGCATATACATTAAATTATCAACAAGCTAGAAACTTTGATCTAGAAGCTGACAATTCTTTAAGCCAACTTCAACAATTTCCAATACCTGACTAAGAATCAGAGAACAAAGCTTCAGAAACTACTACTATTTACAATAAGGAAGAAAACTCTGATCAAGAAAAAAATCCTGAACAAAGAGAAAACTTAGTATGTGAAGAAGAAAACCTTAAACCAGAAGAGGAACTTGACCAAGAGCTTAAGCATAACGAAGAACCTATTGAACCAGAAGAGGAACCTGACCTAGAACTTGATAATAATGAAGAACCTATTAACAAAGAAGCCATGAATGCTGCTGCAAAAGCTATGACTCAGCTTATTAAAACAATAGAAAGAGGAGAAGCTAGTAAAAAGAATTTGGTTAAAATAGAATCTTTTTAGATAATAGCACCCAAGACTCTCTTGACTAGTTAGAGAAGTTTGAATATGTTACAAAAGCTAATAGTTGAAGTAAAGCTCAAAACCGAGATCTAGCTAAAGTATATATAACCGGAATTGCTAGTGAATAGATTCGAGGATATTTAGATGTCCAAATAGCACATTATGATTATTGAGATTATCAAAATATTAGTTTTAAACCTCTTTTTAAAGCAAAATTTTTTACAATTTGCCAAAAAGCAATAAAATAATACTGTCGATGCCTATATCTCAAAATTTAAAAACTTAAATTGTAAAGTTGAAGGCCTACCTGAACAATTTATTTACCAACATTTTATCTAAGGATTATAACCAGAATTTGTCATGCCTGTTTAAGCTGCTAGAATTAATAACCTTAATAATATCATGAATGCTGCTAGAAACTGGGAAACAGAAAAATATTTTGCTATTTCAAAAACAGAAACCAATAAAGCAATTGCTCAACTCACTGACCAAATTGCCCAACTTAGTATTAATTTAGCTCAACAACAAACTAAGCCAGCCTATACTGCAGAAACTAGACAAAGCTCATCAAAGGATGATGCTATTTGTTATTTTTGTAGCAAGAAAGAACATTTCTTTGCTAACTGTTTTAAAAGAAAATCAGAAGGAAATAGAAGTAATGGAAGAGTTAGAAGCAATAACAATTACAATAACAACAACTACAACAATAACTATAACAATAACAACCGAAGAAACAACTACAACGATAGATCCAATAATTATAAACAAGACAGAAGTAGAAATCAATTACATTATAGAAACAGAAACAGAAGTAGAGACAAAAACTATTCTCATAATAGAAATAGATCTAGGGATAGAAGTCAAGAAAAATAGGGACCTAGATTTAATCATTTACTCTCACCCTATTATTGAAATGTAAATCTAGCTGAAAAATCAAACCCTAAACCTAATCCAAAATTTTCAAATAATTGGAAATGTTTGTTGGACAACTACTCTATTTGTATTGCCCTAACTGCATATATTACAGACATAAACCAAGAAAACACCAAACCAACTCCAGAGGATAATAGCAATATCACCTCTGTTAAGTGCTTTGTAGACTTAAAGGACAAAACCTACCCTGCTATCATAAATAGTGGAGCCTCTGTTAGTATGATTGTTTATAAAGTTGTAAAAGAATTAAGACTAGAAATAGATGAATCTTTTAAAAGTTTGAT